TTGCCTCAAATTCTGTCCTCCATGAAAACATTTTCTTCCTCGGCAAACTTTGTGGGAATCTAGCAGGATGTTCTGCTTATTACATTTGGGCACTATGCACTAACAATTCAGCTGCTGACACTGATTGCATTATTCTGAAGAGTGTCATGTTGATAAAGTTGAATTTAAAACCCATTAATGGTGACACAATTCCATAATTTTAATAACCAGTTTTTTTAAATAAAAGGAAAAAAAGTTTTTTTTTTTGAGACGGAGTTTCGCTCTTGTTACCCAGGCTGGAGTGCAATGGCGCGATCTCGGCTCACCGCAACCTCCGCCTCCCGGGTTCAGGCAATTCTCCTGCCTCAGCCTCCTGAGTAGCTGGGATTACAGGCACGCACCACCATACCCAGCTAATTTTTTGTATTTTTAGTAGAGACGGGGTTTCACCATGTTGACCAGGATGGTCTCGATCTCTTGACCTCATGATCCACCCGCCTCGGCCTCCCAAAGTGCTGGGATTACAGGCTTGAGCCACCGCGCCCAGCCGGAAAAAAAGTTTTTAAAGATAAACTAATAAGAAGAAGATTGTAACCAAATGCAAATAAATACCTCAGTGTGGCATATTTTATTTAGTAGAAAGTAGAAACTGTTAATTATTTTTTATTGTACCTAATGATTCCCAAACTTATATTTTTAACTTTGATCTCCCATCAAAGGCCTCTCCTATATTTCCAGGAATATCTAATTTAGACTTAAAAAAAAAAATTATGGAAAAGGCTGCTAGTCCAGGTCCAGTACCCCGCCACACTCAAAAAAGTAGCCAGGAGTTCATTTTCTCTTTTATACACATGCAGATAAACATTTATACATACACACACATATATGCTAACGTTTTAGTTCTCATGCACTCAAACAAATACAAGGGGATATGAAGCTAATATTTAAGCATATATGATTCATAAGTACAGGGAAAATGTTTCTTGTATTGTCAAGATTATTTTTATAATTTGACTAAAGAAGGATAAGAGGAAAAAGACTTGAAGGAAGTGAATACTCAGGAGGTGGAAGGAGACACTGAGACAAAGAGTAGCAAAATTTGCCTCTTGATTTTTTTAACCTTTTCACTTTTCAGTCATTGGCCAAAAGGATATCATTATTTGTCCTGTCAGCCAGACAAATTTCTTCACCAGCAGTTTAAACTTGTTATGTGGAAATAGCCATAAGTTGTTATGAGGATTAAATGAGGTGACCTATGTATGTTACCTATATTAAAAGTGGCACAAAGTTGGCTCAGAAATACATTTCAGCAAATTGAGATAAATCGTCTGCAACTGTGGGATTATTTCTTATTTGTGGTTTTGTTCTGCCAGTGACAGAACTAAGACTAAAATTCAGGTGCTGGAAGAAATGAATAAAAGTACTTAAGTGGATTGAGCAGTTACTTCATGTGTCTTTGGATTCATTTTCTTCCAAAAGGAAAGACTGAACCTCAAAAAGAGAAAAATTCATTCTTTAGCATAACCTGTTACTTGTTTTGTGAGGATTCATTGAAATAGTTCATATAAGGTACTTAAAGAAGTGTCTGGCACATAGTGAGCACTTAACAAATGCTCATTTTATTTGTATTACTTTTCATGTTGTTTATTTAAAAAAATTTTTTTGAAACAAGGTCTTGCTCTGTCACCAAGGCTAGAGTACAGTGGCAATCAGGGCTCACTGCAGCCTTAAACTCCTGGGCTCAAACAATCCTTTCACCTCAGGCACAAGTAGCTGGGAATACAGGCACACCCCACCACACCCAGCTAATTTTTACATTTTTTTTGTAGAGACAGGATCTCTTTATGCTGCCTAGGCTGGTCTCGAACACCTGACCATAAGCGATTGTCCTGCCTTGGCCTCCCAAAGTGCTGGGATTACAGGTGTAAGCCACTGTGTCTGGCTTAAAGAAATTTTTTTCAGGATGAACCATTTTAGGAAACCAAATATGAGTGTATGTTTTTTATACAGTATAGATAAATTGCCAATTAGTTTGCACATCTAATTCAGAAATTTGTAGGTGCTGAAGAAATCTTTTTGTTGACAGTTTCTCACGTGTTGAAATCTCTTTAGTTTTTGGAAATTTGTAATTCTAATAATTTAGAGATTTGTCTGTTTAGAACAATGTATCTTTGTTGTGCAAGTTTGTTGCTCTTATTCCTGGTGGCTCCATGATGGCGAGTCTGGCTTATTCAGTTCAAAAGCCAAACCTAAGGAGCTTTATGAGATGAATAGCTGTAACAGTGTTGTAATCTTTGAGTGAATTGCAGTTGCTTTGTTTAACTGTCTGTCTCCCTTGTTAGGCTGTTGAGTTTCTCAGTGAAAGCAGTGGGCTGTCTTGTATGCCACTGCATTTCTAATACCTAGATTGGCATCTTGTACATGCTACTATTCAAAATTTATTGAAGAATGAAGACAGTGCAGTGACTTCTCACTTGGAAAAAACATGGCAAAGGAAGGAATACTACATTATGTAATATAATATTGATTTTCTGATTTTGCTTGAAGCCTGATTTTTGCAACATTCGAGTAATGGCAGTCTCATGTATTTCATTTTCTCTTTTAATAGTAAACAAATTGAGGTAATGCAACTTCATGGAAAGGGTCAGACTAGAATCATTACAATCTAGATTTGAAACCAAACTGTGTGGAGCAGCTTAGCCTCTCCCAGCCTCAGTGTGCTTATTTCTTAAATGGAAATACAGTAGTTATAAAGTAGGTGTTATGAGGATTAAATGAGATCACATATGCAGTGGCACATACTAGCTTCAAATAAACGTTAACATCCTTTCTCCTTTTCTTCTCCTCATAGCCCATAATTAAGAATAATTCAGATGTTTTGTATTTCATTGTAACCTGCATATGGTGGTGATATTTGGCTAAGAAATTGGAATAGCAGACCTGTAAAGGCAAGTTTCCACGGGAAACAGCTCGGTGGGAATGGAAAGAGCACTAGAGAAACCTGAGCTAGTCTTGGCTTTTTACTGACTGGCATTGTGACCTTGGGTAAAGAATATAACCTCTCTAGTTCAAATTTGTGTTTCTTTTAAGTGATGTTCTCCAGTGACTAAGGTGAGAAAGCAGTAAAGAAGCTTTTAAAAATTAACTCTTTAAAACAATACAGAGATATTGTTTTCTCTTGGACACCTGAAACATCAGAGCTACCTCCCTCCCCCAACTCCACTGCCAGTACATTGCATCATTCAGGCTTTTTTTTGAAGCCAATCAGTACATTTGAAATCCATATTTCATTGAGCTGCTTAACTAATTGCTGCAATCAGCAGCAATTTGTTTTATAGTAGGGCTGTTCAAATCACTTTGAGGTTGGCATACTATGCACAGTGTGTTTTTAACAATCATATTTTTAATGGCACGTTTAAATAGCAGAGATGGTTAATCTGCTCATATTCTCCTGAAAGCCTTAACTTTGGTCCTGTAGTTTATCTTCATCCAATGGTAACTTAAAGGGCCACAGCAAATTCATTGACCCAGTGGGTGCACCAGCTGTTGGAGTGGCTGTCCCATTTGGAAAGACCAGGAGAGGGAAGGAGCACTCTGTTTTCACTCTTGTTTGGAGACCTTCATTAAATTTCTCAGAAACAATAATCAGATAGATGCTGTTCAAGTTAATGGCACCTCTGAGTTCCTGTCAAGAGAGCTTTATTTAATGTGCAACAGACCTAGAGTGATGCAGGTGTCTTTTCAGGCCCTCATTTAATTTAAGCTGCTTTAGTTGGCATGGCAACTAGTTGAGACATCTGGGAGACATTATGCTAGGGATTGAGACTTCAGAGGATTTCTGCTAGAGCAAAGCAAAAACCATATCATAAGGTGGTGTGTATTGCTTCCGAATTTTTGAAGCTATATTGTTAGAGCTTCAAAGTTCAGGAATTATTTTCCAAAGAAAAATGTAAAAGGTTGGCCTGGTTGTCACATTGTTTTCTCTAAAGAAAAAAAACTGCATTATTCATGGAGTGAAAAATGTATTTTCCCTAAGAATTTACTTTGTTAAACTAAAGCTTGACAAAACGTATTCTCTGCAAAATGGCTGTTTTAATCCCTTTATAAAAATTCTATGTTTAAAATTTTCCAGTCTTTTATGTTTAAAAGGTATTAAAGAAAGGGAAAGCGTTTCTGCACAAGGGTAAATGGAAAATAGTAGAGGTAGATAGAGCTCTATGTATTTTGCCCTGAAATTTTCAGTTAATTAGAGTTAATTAACCTGCCCCTATTCTTTTTTAACTCAACCTGTCATCTTCTCAAGAAGCAGAGATATAAAAGTAGCATTCTTTTAAACTCTCCTTTCTTAAATAGATAATAGAAGGTTGAATGAAAGGTTTTTGAAGTTCATGGATCCTGAAGTTAGTGACATAGTGATGTAGTCATTTGTGCCTGGCAGAAGGAATGCCTGCTGGTTTATATTTTGTGAGAAATTGTGCACATGTGTATGTGGTCTTAGTATGAAGGAACTGACTTACCATTTGAAGTCATGCTCTGTATTCATTTTGAATACCTTTTCAGTTTTTTGATATCTGGTAATACTTTGTGTTAGTTGAAACATATGAAATTGTTATGTTGGTCAAAAATAGTCCAGTTTATCCATTCAAATCCAACAGGTATAGGGTGAACAACACCCTGACCTGATATGTTCATAATGCTAGATGAAATGTTAGATTTATTTTTCTGAAATGAGTGCTTAGTTATATCGGGTTAGAACACTAATCATTTCAGTCAATGTTTTTGTTTCTTTTTTTTTTTTTTTTTGGAAACAGAGTTTTACTCTTGTTACCCACACTGGAGTGCAATGGCACGATCTCGGCTCACTGCAACCTCCACCTCCTGGGTTCAGGCAATTCTCCTGCCTCAGCCTCCTGAGTAGCTGGGATTATAGGCACGCGCCACCATGCCCAGCTAATGTTTTGTATTTTTAGTAGAGATGGGGTTTCACCATGTTGACCAGGATGGTCTCGATCTCTTGACCTCATGATCCACCCGCCTCGGCCTCCCAAAGTGCTGAGATTACAGGCTTGAGCCACCGCGCCCGACCTTTTCTCGTTTCTTTGAAAATGTAATCACTGTTAGAAGAAAGCATATGACATTATTTCATACTTATTCTCTGTTTTCGGCTTTTGTATAAGTTTGTTTCATTTATAAGTCAAAGCAAGATTTTCCAAGTGCCAGCACTATGAATTCAACCTGATAAACTTGAAAATTAAGATGTTTTCTCTTCACTGCTTGTAAGCACACCAACTGTCACTACTAACAGTAAGGATTCTGGCATCACATCTTGGCTGCCAATTTTGTAGATCTGCGAAGCAGAATAGAATATAACCTGTTCTTCACATCCATGGAAGAACTCTTCAATCCTGGCAAAAGCAAAAAAAAAAAAAGTTAATAAACTCAGCAGATCTGACTGACATCCCATACAGATAAATGCTTCATACTTTTTTTTTTTTGAGACAGGGACTTACTCTGTCACCCAGGTGGGAGTGCAGTGGCACAATCGCAGCTCACTGCAGCCTCAACTTCCTGGGCTCAGGTGATCCTCCTGCCTCAGCCTCCTTAGTAGCTGAGATTACAGGTACGTGCCCATGCCCAGCTAACTTTTTACTTTTTTTGTAGAGACAGAGTGTCATTAAGATGCCCAGGCAGGTCTTGAACTTCTGAGCTCAAGTGATCCTCCTGCCTTGGACTCCCAAAATGTTGGATTTACAGGCGTGAGCCACCACGCCTTGCCATTGGTACAAGATTTTTTTTTTTTTTCTGTATAAAAATTCAGGTTGACAACTGTCTTAGTCCATTCATTCTGCTATAACAAAATACCATAAACTGGGTGGTTTATAAACAACACTAATTTATTCTCACAATTCTGGAAGCTGAGAAGTCCAAAATCAAGTTGCTGGCAGATTTGGTGTCTTCCAAGGGCCCATTTCCTAGTTAACAGTCTAGGACTGTTGTGGAAAGGACTAGCAAACTCCATTAGGCCTCTTTTATAGAGAGGCTCGGTTCTCATGACCTAATTACCTCCCAGAGGTCTCACCTCTTGATCAAATCTTCTTGGGGGTTAGCATTTCAACCTGTGAATTTTGGAAGAGGCACAGATATTCAGAACATAACAAAACACTTAATACAGGGGTGGCAATTGTGAAATTCTTGTTTTTGTTGTTTGGGTTTTTTTTCTGTATAATGTTCCTTTGTTTCCTCTCCCTTGAGAATTCTGGAACCAGTGCAACTCAGGAATATTGGGACTTCTGATCAAGACTTAAAGGTGCAAGTAGCACCTTTTTTATATCACTATCCAATCAATGATTTCTTAGTGGAAAAGAAAGTTTCAGTATATACTAGAGGGTTAATATCTTTTAAGATGAGAAGTAGTATTACAAACAAAAATTATCACCACAGTAGATAATAGAGCAAAGCACAGGAACAATTTGCTCTCACTCTTGGTTTTCCTTTTTTTCTGTCTCTCATTATCACACATACGTGTGGCCAATAAACATGTAAAGAGTTTTCAACCTGAAAACACAGTGGATACAACACAGATCTTTACTACCATTCTTTCCTGTAGTCCCCTTAAATTTCACTAAAGGGTTAAAAATTCAGACTAGAAAAGGCAGATATGTAAGGTGGCAGTAATGAGAACCCAGAAACAGGTTGGTTTTTGCTACGGAGTGTCACAAACTCTCAGGAATTGGGGGCATCAAGTATCTCAGGAAGTAGGGGTACACGTGGGCCTAAACATTGGATTGGTTGCAAGCCTGTTTAAGAAGTAGTGTGATGCTCAGATCTTCTTCCCCAACCCTGCTGGAGACTAAAAGTTTATTCCCTGGACAGTATGCTGAGCTATGGTATCCCTGGCTCCTAACCCCCTAACAGAATTCTGGCAGCCTCACCTATTTGGCCCAAGAAGGAATATTGGAGAACTCTCTGAATAAATGAATTAACCCAAGAAGGGAGGATCTATACATAATTGAGGGTTCGTCATGAAACAGTACCTTAAAGCTCTAAGCACTCCCACAGAGCTACATTATAGCGAAACAATATTGTAAACATCCAGTGGCAGAAGATGACTTAACTCCTGACATATTACATAAAATGGAGTACTATTTAAGCATTTTAAATGATGTAAAAGAATATGCAATACCATGGAAAGAGTTTACAGTATTTTAAAGCTTTTAAAAGTATACGTAATATTCTCAGATACACATATATAATTCTAGATATAGAATGTTTATCTCAAGGTTATTTAAAATAGTAAAAAGTAAGCCAGTCTCAGTGGTTCATGCCTGTAATTTCAGAATTTTGGGAGGCCAAGATGGGTGGATCACTTGAGGTCAGGAGTTCAGGACCAGCCTGACCATATGGTAAAACTCTGTCACTACTAAAAATACAAAAATTAGCCAGGCGTGGTGGTGTGTGCCTGTAGTCCCAGCTACTCAGAAGGCTGAGGCATGAGAATCACTTGAACCTGGGAGATGGAGGTTGCAGTGAGCCGAGATCATGCCACTGCACTCCAGCCTGGGTGACAGAGTAAGACTCCGTCTCAAAAAATAAAATTAGAAATAGATTTTTAACAATGATTGCTTGGTTAAGTGAATGATAATACATCCACATATTAAAACACTATGCCATCATTAAAATTCTGCATTATTAGACCATTGAATGAAAGGATTCCCTTGCTTGCTTTGTATTTAGATCCTTATATTTTATAAAAAGAAGAGACAACAAAACAACAATGTATATAATACCAGTTTTATTTTAAATATACATTTATGTAGCCACGCACATTATTTTCATCAAAATGTTACAAATTCATCCAAAGAGGTAGAATTCTGGATATTTTTAATATTCTTGTATTTTTTTTTCTTGTATTTTCCATTTTCTACAATTAAGTTTAAGAAAACTATTATGGAAATTTTCAAAATATACAAAAACATATAGAAAATACATGAAAATATAAGAGGCAGTAGTATATAAGTATATAACTTATGTACCTCCTGCTTGGCTTTAACAATATTAATTTTGCCAATCTCATTTCCTCTTTATTAATTTTGCCAATCTCATTCCCCTTTTTATTGAGGGGAAGGGAAAGGAGGGCTGGAGTATTTTAAAGCAGATAACCAAACATCACATTATTCCACCTACAAATACTTAAATATGAATTTCTAACAGATAAGTACCTTAAAAACAACCATTATGCCATTATCACACCTAATAAAATTAGCTAATTCCTTAATATCTGTTCTCTGCCTTAAGAGTCACTTTTTGAATAAGGATCTAAACAAAATTTACACGTATATGTGGTTATGTCTCTTGAGTCTCTTATCCCAAACATTCCTGCCTGCCCTTCACCCAGCCACACACAGATCCTTTTTGTGGGAGAGAGAAGGGAGATGGTCATTGATTTTTTTCAAGAAATTTTTCCTGAAGAATGATCTACATTGTGTGTTTAGCAGATTGCTTCATCATAGTGTCTTGTTTTTTAATTCCACATATTTCTAGTTAACTGGTAATTAGAACTAGGGGACTGATATATTCAAATTAAGTTTTGGGGAGCATGAATACTTCCTAGGCAGTGGTGTGAATATCGCAAACATAGTAATATTCTTGTTCCACATTAAAGTATGCTTAAAATTGAGTTGTGGATTGAAGTGATGTCAATCTCATACTCATGCTTTTCAAGTGATTTTACCAGCCATTGATGGTGCCTAGCTCCAGAGATTGCAAAACTGTGGGTTTTTAAAAATAATTCTATAATTATTTCTGCATTTATTAGTTGAAATTCTTCTATAAAGAACACAGTGAACATTTAGTATATTTTGTGATCGTTGTGGGGTTTTATTTTTGAGACAGGGTCTCACTCTGTCACCCAGGCTGAAGTGCAGTGATTAGATCAGGGCTCACTGCAATCCCCACCTCCTAAGCTCAAGAGAGTCTCCCACCTCAGCCTCCTGAGCAGCTGTGACTACAGGCACATGCCATGACACTCAGCTATTTCTTAAAAAAAAATTTTTTTTAGACAAACTCTTGCTTTGTCACCCAGGCTGGTGTGCAGTGGCATAATCTCGGCTCACTGCAACCTCTGCCTCCTGGGTTCAAGCAATTCTCCGGCCTCAGCCTCCTGAGTAACTGGGACTACAGGCGCACACCACAATGCCCAGCTAGTTTTTGTATTTTTAGTAGAGGCGGAGTTTCACCATGTTAGCCAGGCTGGTCTCGAACTCCTGACCTCACCTGCCTCGGCCTCCCAAAGTGCTGGGATTACAGGCGTGAGCCACCACGCCCAGCCTATTTCTTAAACTTTTTATAGAGATGGGATTTCTCCATGTTGCCCAGGCTGGTCTTGAACTCCTGGACTCAAGCAATCCACTCGCCTGGGCCTCCCAAATTGCTGGAATTACAGGTGTGAGCCAGTACACCGAGCCTATTTTATTATAGGTTTTTAAAATGTTACTAAATAAAAAGGAATAAGAAAAGATAAATCCAAAATTGCACTGAACCATTGAAGCAATTTTAGACATGATCAGATCTAAAAGCTTCACTAGTATGTAACCATAGGCAGGCTATTTGTCTTCTGTTAACATCAATTTCTTTATCTAAATTTTAGTTATCACTACATACCTTATAGGTTTACCATGATAATTAGATAATATTATATATTTAAAATACTAGTAGAGTACCTAGTAGGTCCTCAATATATATTCATTCATCAAATACTTAGAGGTACCTACTATGTGTAGACACTATTCTAAGAGTCTGGGATAGATTTGTGAACAAAGCAGACAAAGCTTGCCTTTATGGAGCAGGCTTGGCAATACAGACAGAGAATGAACATAAGGAAATTATAAGCTAATAAGTATTAAGGGAAGAAGAAAAAGTAGAGCTGTGCAAGGGGATGGCAATTGGATAGGGAGGGCAGGTTTTGTTACACAAACCTAGATGGTATAGCCTATTACACACCTAACGTGTGGTATAACCTATTGCACCAAGCTACAAACCTGTACAACATGTTACCATACTGAATACTTTGGACAGTTTTAACACAATAATAAGTATTTGTATATCTAAATGTATTTGAACACAGAAAAGGTCCAGGAAAAATATGATAGAAAAGATAAAAATGGTATACCACGAATGGTATACTTACCACGAATGGAGCTTACAGGACTAGAAATTGCTCTGGGTGTGACAGTGAGTGGTGAGTGAATTTGAAAGCCTAGAACATTACTGTGTATTACTATAGACTTTATAAACTCTGTACTCTTAAGGTACACTGTTTATTTTTTTCTCCCCCTTTCCTAAGTTTCTTTTTTAATGTTTCTTTAATATAAACTAACCCTAGCTTAATGTAACTTTTTTACTTTCTAAACTTTTTAATTTTGTTAAATATTTTACTCTTTTGTAATAACACTTAGCTTAAAACACAAGCACATTGTACAACTGTACAAAAAAATTTTTTTTTCTTATTTATTTATTCTCACTCTGTTGCCTAGGGTGGAGTGCAGTAGTGCAATCATGGCTCACTTGACTCTGTTGCCTAGGGTGGAGTGCAGTAGTGCAATCATGTCTTACCTTGACTTCCCAGGGTCAAGTAATCCTTCCACCTCAACCTCCTCAGTAACTGCTGGGACTACAGGCACAAGCCACAACACCTGGCTAAATTTTTTGTGGAGTTGAGGTCTGAGTTGCTTTTTTACTTTTTCAAATAAGACACAAACATATATTAGCTTAAGCCTACACAGGATTAGTCCCCAAGACATCCCTAAGCAATACAATAGGAATTTTCAGCACCATTACAATCTGTGGGACCACTTTTATACATGTGGTCCATCATTGACCAAACATCATTATGCAACACCTGACTGTAGTGTCAGAGTGGCTGAGGTAGGCCTCATTTTAAAGATAAAATTTGAGCAAAACCACAAAGGAGGTGAAAAGAGTTAACCAAATAGATGTCAGGAAGTACAGTCCATACAGAGGGAATAGCTAAGGCCTAAGATTGAAGTGTATCTAGCACGTTCAGAGAATATCCAGGAAGAAAGCAATAGAAGAGGTCAGAGAAATAAGAAGGCCAAAT